ACTTTTATTGTTGCCGTTTAACATTTTGTAGATATGATCTTATGAAGTGGGAAGCAAATAAAATAACAGATCAGATACATGACTAAACTCTCAAAGTCCCATTACTCATATTCCTTATTTATTTTCAAATTATGTGACTAACAGCTAAGGGACAATACTGAACATTTACTATTTAAACACACAACCCAAAAAATTCACAGTGCGAGTCAGTTTGTTTTTATCGTTGAATTAGAAGCTGCTCAGTGGGCCGGTGGGCGGCCTGTTGTGGGCCTGGGTTTGGCCCGCGGGCCGTAGGATGAGTATCACTGCTGAAAGTCATCTACGCTCACTATCACATATAATCATTTAGCCTATTCCTATTTCACGACCTGTAGTAGTGGTTGACCACCGCTGTAGACTTTCTTAAGGCTCAGGAATTGGTGACCTGTAATCATTCCGTCTTTTTGTTGTTGAATGTTTTTTTCCATTATCTGGGAACATTTAAGCCATGTTTTACCCATCAAAGGCTGATGTGACAGTTGATAAAAATACATGATTCATCTGCAGCTGAATGTTTCTCTCAGTTGCCATCACTCATTCATGCCGTAGATGAGGGAACAAAGCAGGGTGGGGAAGGGGAGGGAGGATAATCCTTCAGGATCAGCTGTGTGTGGGTGGATGTGAGTAAGTGCTGCTGGCTCAGCCTCCCTGCCTCTCTCTCTCTCTCTCTCTCTCTCTCTCTCTCTCTCTCTCCTTGCGTGTCCTCAGCTCACACACTGACTGCTGGACAGTGCACAGTATGTTGGGGGGTCGCTAATTGGACAATTTGGGCTGCACTTGCTGAAAAACATTAACTCGGCCAAACACTGTTTTGTCCACCATCGGTGCATTGTTAAAGAGCTTAGAAAAATACAAATTGAAGCATGATTTGTATATTTATGCTGTTCAGGCAGCTGCCTCCAAAGCTTCTACAGGCAGGGGAATGTTTCAGATTTGCAGTCAAAGCTAGATCCTGCATAATTTTTTTGTTTTACATCTCAACAGGATTCGAGTCGGTTATGATTTTCAATACCTGACCGTCTTGTGCGTGCATAATTTAGTTAATAATTGCTGATAGTGGCTGTGAGGGGCTGTATCTACTATGTGTTTGCACAAAATGTGGCGTGCGATGACGTGGAAGTCACTCAAGATGACAGACATTTCAGACACTATCAGCTGCGTTCTGAAAAAACTCATGATGATGATGCGCCCTACAAACAAATCAATTATTCCTTGAGCATCTATCTTTTATGTAAATCAGAATTTATTATAAGACATTCAAATTAGATATTTAAATAAGTCTACAACAGATTAAATTAGCACTTAGGGGAGTGGATGGCTGCAAGATTCACAACGGAAGCGTTTTGTGTTTGTCCAGTGACGGTGTAAAGCCTCTTCAGACTGACAGGCAAGAAAGCAGCAGATTGGAAGCAGCGTCTGAGGAGCCAGAATGAGCCTCTCTTGCATCAGTCCAGAGGCCAGTGTCAAACTGACTGGAATGACATTGATCAGTGGGGCGCCCCACCATGTGACGCTGTCAGCTCTCTCTGAAAAATATGACATGCTGCTCCCTTTACTGATGATTTATTTCTCCTGGGTCAAGCTCTTTTCATTCATTTCACATTTGACACTGTATTTCTCAAGATCAACAACAACAAAAAAACAAAACAGGAGCGATATTCTCCACACTTGTGCATTTTCTTCAGTCAGAATAGGAGAGAGAAGTTCTTGTTATTCAAGGGAGTAGATTGACAGGTGTTCTTTAAAAAAAAAAAAAAGAAAAAACATAAAGACTACCCTGGATAATGTTCTCAATGCAAATCCACTTAAAGGGATTCCAGCTCAGAAAGAGATTTACAGTACAGCACAACTTGAGAATGAGCAGGGAAGCACTTTGAACGGGTGCTCGGAGAAGTGGCAGTCCTCCAGCTCTCTCTCTCCGGCGTAGAGTGCTTCCTAAGCTGCAGGTTGAGTATGCGAAATGAGCGAGTATATGCATGTGTCAGAGACCCTACCCTGCATAATGTATGTAAGTGCTGCTCTGACATTCAGACTGGTCCGTACCGTATCACACAACGCACGTATTATAGCATTCACCAAAATATATATGCCGTTACGCGTACCTTATGCATTATGCTTCATGTTTACTTTCCTCTTTTCATTTTCTGCTCAGTGCACAAAACTGTAGAGCTGCTTCTGCCTATTCAACACATCATAAAACTTCAAGCTTTACTTCACACCTATAGATATTTGCTCAAGGCTGTGTTTGCACCAACTGCCGTTTGTTTAGGTTGTTACCATATTTTATTAAATTGTAAAAATACTACAGAGTGTTGTAGTAGCACATATGATCTGCAGTTACAGCCACACTGTTGGTTCTTTTCAGTCCACTCTGCTGCTATACAATATATAATGTTACCACTGAATTAAGCTTTAGTTTATCTCTGAAGCATTTACTGTGAGCTGGGTTTAATATTTGACATCTGAAAGTTCTTCATTTTCCTATAAATGTGACTATTTTTTACTGCATATTCCCATATTTGAGTATCCAAATACACAGTGGATGCCGGCCCAGTGAGCAGTAATGACGATCTGATGAAAAGGTGGCTGCTCTATCATTTACTTCAAAGGTGGGAAGGAACCTGCCAATGCAAATTACGGGGCCTGCGTTCAGAAATAAACGAATGCAAATCAAGCACAGTACATGGGTTGTTTCATTAGTTCTGTATTGCAACACTAGTCCACGTATCAGAATGGATCCAATGTATATATCATTAAAAAGTACATTTGCATTATTTTTTCATGCAATACATAATACATCTATGTGGTGACACATCCGCCTGCATTATTTTGCAGTAATCATGAATACTCCATGCAATCTTTTAACCGCATGCGTTCATTCATTCCCTGTCATCCTTTACTTGCTCGTACGTTCTGCGTTTTTTTTTTGTTTTTTCTTTTTCTTTTTTCATGCAAGTAATTGACACCTATTGGATGGGACTGATTTTATATGCTTAGGGGTTAATGTGACCATGTATCTTGTTTAGTAGTTCTGGTATGTGAGTAACTCTTGTATATTGTGGAGATGTGCCCATCTTTTTAGGTTCTTCTTCACACACAGAGCTGAGTGTCTGAAACATTAAGTGATATTTTTTTGCACCTAAATATTTGTAGATATTTTCGTCATGCAATTTATATTCTCTTTGAAGGAATCTCCGGTTCTTTATGTGGTCACATGACTGAAAGATTATTCTAAGAACAGTGCTGAGATTGCTTCATGACCATTTGCAATAACCAACTGGTAAATTCATTTTTCCCCTAATCAGAATCAGCTTTAATGGCCAAGTACGTACGCAACATACAAGGAATTTGGTTTCGGCTGTTGGTGTTGCCCTAGGAATGAGCAGGAATAATACAAACAGGAAAAGAAAGAAATAAAGTAAAATAACTACAGAAAGAAAAGAATACAAATAAAATACAATAAATAATAATAATAAAAAAATAAAACAAGATAATAAGACAAATATATACAAGAATTTACACATCTGAGCAGAAAACATATATAAGTACATTGCGCAAAATAGCAGTGCAAATAAAAAATTTGGCTGAGAATGGCTCAGCTGTTCAGTAGAAGTATGGCAGTGGGATAAAAACTGTTTTTGTGTCTGCTGGTTTTAGTCTGCAGGACTCTGTATCGCCTTCCGGAGGGGAGGAGGGAGAACAGTTCTTGACCAGGATGTAACTTTCAGATCCTACATCTGACATTCTGTTGCTGTTTGCAACTGTGGAAAAAACCCCAAAACAAAATGAGGGAGAAAACAGAACTTTGTCCTCCATGTTGGGAAGTATTCCAACATAACAAAGAGTGTGTTATCTTTACAAAGATGCGATTCGGCCTCTTGCAAACCGATGATTGTGTCCAGTCTTACACACACACACAAGTGCAGACTTACACTCTCCATTAAACCCGAACGTCTTTCACACTGTGGCTAATATAATATTTATGTAGAGAACCGGGAGCAATGAACAGTGAAGGCGAATGATGAATGAAATGCTTTGATGGCTTCGGTGACTATTTACACATGTGCACGCCGACCATTTACTGAGCTGCAACAAGGACTCAGCTCATAAGACCATCTCATGTAGTGCAGTTTCTGACACTTGATGTAGTGTAATGGAAGTCAAGAAGCAGTGTCTTTCATCGCCGATGGTACCAACTGGGAATAATAAAGTTTTTTTCCCCCCTCCATGACGACCTTTATTTGGGTGTGCAATATTTCCTTGATATATAGCCGGTACTTAAATGTATACAGTTTTAAAGAAATGAACCATTACAAGAGGGAGCTGAACTGTATTTTCTGTCTTGGCTGCTTTTGAAGTTAATATGAGCCCATCTATCGCAAAAGACTCAATTTTCACCCACTGATGTGGTCAAGGAAGAGGAATAGACGACCCCAAAACACTGTAATAAAAGGCTGTTATGGATTGATTGGCTGCCACTTGAAGTTGTACCAGAAAATAACTGATGATTGCTGCCAGTTGGCAATCAGTAATAAATTGTCTCCAGGGTGATGCAGCAGGTTGATTTCAAACCTCCATTTATCCATCATGTGTTGAGTGTCAGAGGTTAAAGGACGCTGCTGCAATCAAATCAAGTTGTTTTCACTGGACCAATACTTCAAAATATAGCCTTATCCAGAGCCTTCAATTGTCCTTACACACATTTTAACCCTCAGAAAAGCAAAAACAAAGAGCTTGTAAATAACTGTCATTAGTGGTCATTGGAAGTGTTTCAGTATTTAATCGTTTACGCTGTCATTGCTGTTTTCTTTTCTAGCTTTAAATCGGTACATTGTAAAGAATCAGAAACCTTTTGTATTTAACTGACACAAAGTGCATGTGTTCTTACAGCTGAAAGTTGGAAATTGTTTGCACTTGTTTAAAACTTTGTCTTTTTTTTTTCTCCCTCTTTTGCTTTTCAGGATCCCAGAACAAAGCATAAGTTTAAGATCCACACCTATGGGAGCCCCACCTTCTGCGATCACTGTGGCTCTCTGCTCTACGGCCTCATCCACCAGGGCATGAAGTGCGACTGTGAGTAGCTGCATTTTAATTTGGAAAACTTATACTTGGTGGGAAAGGGATTTTAAAAATGTCATTTGTTTAAACCACAATTTCGAATTCAAATTTTGTTTATTTTGAAAAATCCTATCTGTACAGTAATATTTTACAGAATAATCTGTTGTAGATGTAAGGCGATGTTTACATTGTAAGACATTAGCGGTTAAAGTCATCCAGCGGGTTTATCAATGCCTCAGTATGGCAAGCATTGGAAAATCATGGTGTAAGTGGCTCTACACTGATTATGTTCTGATTTGGAACCACTTTATCAACATCAGTCTGCTGTAAAAACAAAAAATCCTGTTGTTGCTCTTCACTTAATTTCATCTGCTGATGTGTTCCTCCTCCTTCACGTTAACTCATAAACATCTAGGGGTCAAAACGGGGCTGATACGGATTATTATTAACCAAGGAGACCGATAGAATATTTGGAACTGTGTATACAAATATACATTTGCAGTAAAAATACGTCAAAAAATTTAAAATTACACAAATACAAAGATAAAACTTTGCCTTTGTTTATTTTAGTTTTACATGTTTAATTTAAAGAGAACTTCTCAGCATATATCCTCCAGGGAGGCTGTTATTTGTGACAGATGATGCTGTTGGCAGGACGTTGCTCCAGAAGATGCTACAGATAAAAAGATGTAGCTGGATCCAAAGTAATTTTTAATTTATTCTTCTAAAAAAAACCAAAAATTTTCAAGTTTAAATACCAATGCAGATCCATCCATCCATGATCTATACACCGGTTAATCCTCATTAGGGTCATGGAGGGGGGGCTGGAGTCTATCCCAGCTGACTCAGG